TTGCGGTGCATCCGGGAGGCACTAAGATGTATCGAGATTTGGGTCGCCAGTTTTAGTGGCGGGGTATGAAGAGAAATGTGGTTATTTTCGTATCGAAGTGCCTTACTTGCTAGCAAGTGAAGGCCGAGCATCAGAGGCCAGCGGGTTTGTTGCAACCCTTGCCTATTGCCGAGTGGAAGTGGGAGCATGTCACTATGGACTTCGTTGTAGGTCTTCCGAGGACTCAGTGGGGTAGTGATGCCATGTGGGTCGTTATAGACCGGTTGACTAAGTCGGCGCATTTCATTCTTATGTGCGTGAGAGATTCGGTAGATCATCTCGCCGACTTGTATATTCGGGACATAGTGAGATTGCACGGGGTCCCAGTGACGATCGTCTCAGATAGAGATCCTCGTTTTACTGCTAGGTTGTGGCAGACTTTGCAGAGTGCCTTGGGCACTAAGTTGACCTTTAGTACGGCTTATCATCCTCAGACTGACGGGCAGTCCGAGCGTACTATTCAAATCCTTGAGGATATGCTTCGAGGTTGTGTCCTTAACTTTAGTAGGACGTAGGAGAGGCACTTGGTTGTTAAAAGATAATGAATTTAACTCATAAATTGAGTAGCATATATGAACTGAATATGAGTTTAAGGAAAATGGAATAAGATTGGTCTTAGTGGCATATGAATATGCAGGTCTTAGATATAAGAGATTATGTAATAAAATCATATGGTTTTGACATGATATGATTTCACGTATATGTATAAGTATCTTTGTCCCTACATATCTTTTAATGTTTTAATATGAGATTGCTCAGTGAGTTTTGCTCACCCTCTGTCTGTACATGTGTACAGGGAATGCTTTTCGGATTTGAAGATCAAACAATGGGTTTTACCATTTCATAAGTGTAATGTAGAGATAGATGTACTACTTCATTTGTTGTTTGGCTGAGTGCTATCTTTTTGTAAAGAGTAGTGTCCTCTCTTTTATTGTAAGATTCAGGGCATTTCTTTTATTTGTATGTAAATGTCATTGTTGTATAACGAGAGGGAATATGTATATTTAATTATTCATCATTTCATCCAAGGATGAAATGTTATTTGTAAATGGACTTAATTAATGAATATTGGTAAGGTTATCCGAGTAATAAAATACGGGGCATGACAGGTTGAGATCTACTAGGGAGAAGAGATGAAGAGTTGCTGTCGGTGGAGATCGAAGGTGACGCGACGGTGGAGACGACGCAATGGTGGAAGCGGAGCGGCAGTGGAGAGGAGGGAGAGGAAGAGAGAGATCTCTGAGGAGAGAGAGTTTGAGACCTAAAAAGTTGGAGAGGAGATCGGAAGCAGCGCGACGGTGGAGACAACTCGACAGTGGAGAGGAGGGAGAGGAAGAGAGATCTCTGAGGACAGAGTTTGAGACCTGAGAAGTTGGAGAGAGAGAGAGAGAGAAGTGTGCAAATAATGTTTGGAGTGGGTGGAACACAGGAGAGAGAGGGGATTGTTTTGGACGGGAATTGAAAATATTACAAAGCATCTCAGCCCTCAATAGTTAAAAACAACTCATCTCAGCCATTGAATTGAAATGTACCTCTGATACATTTTCACACAAATTCAAAAACCCTTCTCCCTTATTATATATATATATAATTAGTTTTCAATCCCTCGCGATGCACGGTTTTCATGTAAGAAATTGAAATTTAAAATTAGTAAATATAATATGTTTATATTTATAAATATAAATATTATTAAATAATAAATGTGGAATAATTATTAAATAATAAATATAAATTTATATGTCAAATAGTTATGTAGTCAAAGTACAGAACACTTTAAAAAAAAAAATTCAAAAGAAAAAAAATACCTGTCAAAGAAGAAAAACTTATCAATACATTTTCTATTATCTCCAATATAAATCATAATGATTTTAAGATAGATTTTATAAATTAAATTTATTTTAATATAAATATATGTAATTTGATTGATTGTAATCATTGTATTTTATTTTATTTTTAATTAAGAACATTTTAAATGTCATAGAAAAATTTAAGCATGATAAAAATATTATAAGATGGTAATATTTGTTAGAAAATATTTTCAAGTAAGTCAAAAAATAATGTAGTATCTCATAAAATGACTTATCAAATATAATTTGTAAATGATTTTACATGATCCAATATAAATGATTTCTTAAAAATTATATTATTAAACATATTATGTGGTCAAATGTCACAAGATTAGAAAAATATTTTTAATGAAAACAATTTATAACAAATAAAATGAGTCCAAAAGCTATGATGCCTACACAATATCAATTGAACAATTTTTTTTTTTTTTCTAATGTAGTATTATTATAAAACTAATAGAACTAACAAAACTAATGATGAAAGTCATTGACCACTAACTTTTTTTTTAACTAAAATGTCTTTGTAAAAAATAGACTTTTTTTAGCTCCAAACTCCTCTTTATTGATGTAATTGTTCATACTCTATATGCGTTTTTCATCAATAAAATCTTTTCTTTTTCCGATAAAAATATATATATATATATATATATCATTCACTAAATTTATTCATGTACTTCCTATAAGTTGCTTGTCAAATTCTCCCTCCCCCTCTCTCTGTTTCTTATTTTTTTGTCTTTATTTTTTTTTATTACAACTTTTGCATTTGTTTTATCATACTTTTATAAAAGTATTTTAAAATTGTAATTTTCTTCTATATGTTGTTAAAATTAATAAACATAAATATATAGGTTGGAATAATTCAAAGCATATATACAAAATAATGCATTTATCGATGAAATAAGAAAAATCATTACAGGAAGAGAGAGAGAGAGAGAGAGAGAGAGAGATGATAAAAAAAATTGTCAAAGGAAGAGGAAAAGTTTAAAAGATAGAAAGTTAACTCTAGGAAGGACAGTTGACAATATTCTAAGAGACTAAAAATGACACATGACACCTTTCTAAAACTTTCTAAGAGAAGTCTCTACTTTACTTATATATTATATAACGTGATATAATCATACTAAAAAAACTTTCTAAGAGAAGTCTCTACTTTACTTATATATTATATAACGTGATATAATCATACTAAAAATTCATAAATTTTATTAAAAAAATTACTTAAGAATATTCATATTCATATTCATTCTACAATACTCACCTTTAATTTTCAACAAACACTTTAATTCTTGACACAAATCTAAAATTGTATTCTAGATCCTAGACTTATAATCATATAAATATATGTGTGATTTTAAAATATATATATATATATATATAAAGGAAAACATGTCTGAAGGGACTGAATATGAAATGGGTCGGATCCAAGCCTTGGGTCGGCCCAATCCATTAGACTCAAGTCTAGAGGAGCCGGGTAAACAAATGGGCCAGCTAGTTAAGCCCAATTACATCATCAACAATCCACAAAAGTCCTCAAGCACTTGAACCCAACCAAAAATGACACATGACACCTTTCTAAAACTTTCTAAGAGAAGTCTCTACTTTACTTATATATTATATAACGTGATATAATCATACTAAAAATTCATAAATTTTATTCAAAAAATTACTTAAGAATATTCATATTCATATTCATTCTACAATACTCACCTTTAATTTTCAACAAACACTTTAATTCTTGACACAAATCTAAAATTGTATTCTAGATCCTAGACTTATAATCATATAAATATATGTGTGATTTTAAAATATATATATATATATATATAAAGGAAAACATGTCTGAAGGGACTGAATATGAAATGGGTCGGATCCAAGCCTTGGGTCGGCCCAATCCATTAGACTCAAGTCTAGAGGAGCCGGGTAAACAAATGGGCCAGCTAGTTAAGCCCAATTACATCATCAACAATCCACAAAAGTCCTCAAGCACTTGAACCCAACCCGCAGTGGAAAGGTCAGTCTAGCCACGATGCTGGGCTGGGCTAAGCTACAGGACCTAATCCTTGGATCGAACCAAAATGGGCCGAGCCCATACAAAGATATCCTACTAGGCCAACCTATCTCTACAAGCAATCTCATAGAGGACCGAGCCAAAGGAACGCACCAGAGAAACATGGAAGCTGTGAGTGCATGCATGTGCAAGTTGCCACCTCAACAGGTCCCCTATACCTAGAATCACAGAAATGGTTAATCAAAGGAATGTGGTTTGTTACTAGCAGGGACGGACTGACGTAGGGGCTATCAAGGGCCACGCCCCCCCCCCCTTAAAAAAAATTACTTATATATATATCTTTTTAATAAAGTATTAATAATATAGTAAAATGGCCCCTGCTTTGTTTTGCGAGTTGGGCTCCCATCTATTCATGAGATGGCTAGGGCCATGTGTCTTCTTTTTAAAAAAATAAAAAATAAAAATAAAAAAAAGGCTGAATAGAAACAGAAAAAAACAAAAAGAAGAAAGAAAAAAAGCCTAATTGCTATGACTTGCTGTTGCTACGCCGTCTCAATTTATTGAAAGCATAGGATTTTTTTTGGAGTTAAATCAACTTGGGATACAAAAAAAAAAAAAAAAAGAGTCTTGCTTCTACTATTAATCTTCTCATTATTACAAGTATGTGATTCATATTCTCTTTTATTGTTGTTTTCAATTTGTAATACTTTTATTATCTTTTTTTTTAATGTCATGTTGATACAATTGCAATTTTTAAAATTTTACATATTAAGAAAAAAAATCATGAATTAGGACGTATGATTTCAATTACTAGGGTTTTTCTTAATCATATTTGGGCAAATTTAATTTTATTCAGATTAAGTGTTATAAATTCAAAATTAAAATGAATTGAGACTTGTATAAAATTTATGTGTTGAATCTGAATTCTGAATTTTTAAATTTATATGAAATTTGTTTTAATTGCATTTGTTATTCTAGGTACAAAAATTTTCTATGTCTTGTGAGATATATATATATATATATTTTTTACATTAGCAGTTGGTTCTAATTTCTAATAAAATATTAACCATGTATGTAATGAATTCCATTTTGATTTGTAGAATATTATGGGAAAGCCATGTACAATTGATAGATTTTTTAAAAGAAAAAATACAAGTTCCTCAGAAGTCAATGCTGACAATACATCATTGCCAACTTCCAATGTTGATATCCTTGAAAATCCTCCCACAAAATCTCAAAAAATTGATGTTAAAGAAATTGATATTGGTTCATTAGAGCGAGATCCTAGATTACGTATACAGATTTGGGATTATCATGTTAATCAAGGTGATGAAATTCGACGAGCTTATATTAAGGCTGGTCCATACCAACCAATACTTTTAAAGTATCCGAAATCTAGATCAACAACTCATCTTCGTAGCTTTCAACCGTCATGGTTCAAACTATTTCCGTCATGGTTGGAATATTCACCATCAAAAGATGTAGCTTTTTGTTTCCCTTGCTTTCTTTTTTATAAACCGTGTGGATCTGGATATTATGGGTAGCAAGCATTCACTGTTGATGGATTTCAGAATTGGAAGAAAGTTAGGGATGGAGCAAAATGTGCTTTTTTAAATCATATAGGAAAAGATCCTAATTCTTTTCACAATGTTACCGAGAGATCATGTGAAGACTTGATGAATCAATTTCAACATATACAAAAGGTATTGGACAATTTCACTTTTGAACAAATTTTAGATAATCGACTAAGATTGAAGGTCTCAATTGATACAATCCGATTGCTTGCATTTCAAGGTTGTGCTTTTAGAGGTCGTGATGAAAGGCCAAATTCAATCAATCGTGGAAATTTTCTTCAAATAGTGAAATTGTTGGGATCATATAATGATAATGTTGCTAAAGTATTGGATAAAACTCTAAAAAAATGCCTCTTACACATCACCAAAGATTCAGAAAGAAATTTTACATATTTTTTCAACCAAAGTGAAGAATGCAATTCGTGAAGAAATTGGTGATGCAAAGTATTGCATAATTGCTGATGAAGCTCGTGACAAGTCAAAGAAGGAGCAAATGGCTATAGTTTTGAGATTCGTTGACAAAGTTGGTTTTGTGAGAGAGCCTTTTTTTGGGCTTATTCATGTCTCTAACACTGCTGCATCAACCCTAAAAGATGGAATATATTTTGTATTGTCTCATCACAATTTAGATATTTAGAATATTCGAGGACAAGGATACGATGGTGCAAGCAATATGCGAGGTGAGTGGAAAGGAATACAAGCATTAGTTTTGAGTGATTATCCATATGCTTGTTATATTCATTCTTTTGCACATCGTTTACAGTTGGCTTTAGTGGCAGCATCGAAAGATGTTATCCCAATTCATAAATTTTTTCCTAAATTGACTTTTGTTGTCAATATTGTTGGTGCCTCATGCAAGCGCAATATGAATTGAAAGTTACGCAAGCTGCTGAAATCGAACATATGATTAACATTGATGAGTTCGAGACTGAAAAAGGACTTAACAAGATTGGCACTTTACAACGAGCTGGAGATACTCATTGGAGTTCTCACTTCAAGCCAGTTTCAAGCTTAATAAAAATATTCAGTCCAATATGTGAAGTTCTTCTTAACATCATTAACGAAGGAACGACTTCTACCCAACGAGGAGATGCAGACTCAGCTTATAAAACATTGACTTCATTTGAATTTGTCTTTATTTTGCATCTCATGAAAGAAATGTTGGAGATCACTGATTTACTTTGTCAAGCTTTACAATACCAATCTCAAGACATCTTAAATGCTATGAATCTAGTTTCATCTACCAAGGCACTTCTACAAAAGGTTAGAGATGACAAATGGGATGCTTTACTAGCCAATGTGAAATCATTTTGCGAGGTATGTAACATAGATGTCCCGAATATGAATGCTCCTTATATTAGGAGAAGAGGTCGAGCTCGTGATCATCAAGATGACTTTACAGTTGAGCATTATTATCGAGTAGATATTTTTTATGCTGCAATAGATTCTCAACTACAAGAATTAACTGGACGGTTTAGTGAACATGCAGTAGAGTTGCTTAATCTTAGCTCAGCTCTGGTGTAACGCCCCACTTTTTATTACTCGAAGTCATTACCAAATTCCTTCACTTAATAAGTTCAGAGATAACATGCGGAAATAAACTTTTTAGTCCCATGAGTAGAAATAAATAACAATTCTCTCCTCCGAATGCAAAGTAAATACAACATGATCATATTGAATAAAATGCCCGAAGGCTTACATCATTAAAGAATCAAAAGAAAGGTGTAACCCTTTTACATATATGGCATTCCGCCAACACAAAAGAGGCCCCGTGACCAACAAGTAAGAAGATCCACATCTTGTAACACATCCTGCTTAACACTTGAAAAAGATTCAACAACGTGGGATGAACATATAGTCCAGTAAAGATCTCTACATGATCCTCAACAATAACAACTTACAGATAGCTATGATCATGAATACTCAATCTCATACCAGGATAATAATGTGACAGTTTATACAAAAATATACATAAGTATAAACTTTTCTCAAAATAGTCAACCCATTCAGCGCTATAAGCGGTTCATCTTTTCTTTCATTTCATTATCCCCTGTTCCCAAACTTTCATAACAATAACAACTTCTTAGAAAAATCAATTTCTCTAAGCCCATTACCTTTCTCCCATTTTCCATACTTACAACAGATTTTCCCTTTTTCAAAACATACTTTCAAATACCCAATTTTCCTTTACACTTTCCCAAAATCTCACAATGGCATTTTGGTTTGTTCCCAATACATTCATATTTATACATGCATACCTTCAATAAAAGGGAGATAACAAATCATCAACATGTATATAATCAACAAATGAGGCAACTCGGCCCTCCAAAACTGTAACCATCACAATCCATGATATACTCAGATACACTGAGACAAAACAATAAAAACTCTGCTCTACGGGCTATATACACAGTAAGCCAAGGATACCACTCTCACAACGGTATGCCATTTTACCAGGCGCTAGCTGGAAGTGTGTGATACTTTAGATTCTCAGTGCAGTCAGTTCTCCAGGCGCTAGCTAGAGGTAACGGTACCTCTGATTATAAGCGCAAGGTATAACACCCATAATCACAATACAACAGAGTATAACCAACGAGTGTAATACATACACATAAACTGTCAAGATACATAAGCAATGTGTTAAAGTATATGAACACATAGGTATGTGTAGAGCACATCCCCTATCTCCTCCCACACACTGGAGTACATCCCCTATCTCCTCCTTAACAATTGTACATATATATAATGTATCATAGCACTTTATTACATACAATGTTCAATCAACACAGGTGTATTGCACACACGACAATTCAACACAACCATGTCATCCTCCACCGATGACCTCTGGACTATCATTATCCGAAAATGAAATTCGTAAGTGCTTATGTGTTTATGTGCTTACGTTGAGTGAATTACAGTTGTCCATGGATTAGGACGCGAGTGTTTAGTTTTGGCACATTTATGAATGTGCTAACGTTCTTCGTTGCCTTTATTAGGATGTCAGGACGAGGACGTGGTAGACGTGGCAGACGTGGTAGACGTGGTAGGCAGGAGATGCCTTTACCGGATGATATTCCGGCACAGCAGGAGGGGGTTGGCCAGGCCAATGTAGCCGAGCCAGTAGGTTAGGAGGCTATGGGCGCTTTAGCCCGAGGGATAGCCAATGCTTTGAGGGAGTCTGTGGGTATTTTCCGAGTTGAGAATCCGGTTCAGGCTCCAGTTCAGGCCCAGGTTGTTGAGGCAGGGCCTTCCTCTTGAAAGGGGAGTTCTTCCGGTCCAACCCGGACGAGTTTATTGGGGATCCAAAGGAGCCACTGAAGGCTGACGAGTGGTTAGAGCAAATGAGTAAGACGTTCGAGATGCTTGGCATCGAGGACGGAGCGTTGAAAGTGACCTTGGCATCCTTCCAGCTTAAAGGGGGTGCGGGTCAGTGGTGGAAATACACGAGGGGCCGTATTGCTGGCACGTGGGAGGCTTTTGTAGAGGCTTTTCAGGAGAAGTATTTATCTCCAGCAGTCAAGGAGAAGCTGAGAGACCAGTTCTATCAACTTTTGCAGTTGAGTTCTTCAGTAGCCAAGTATGAGGCTGCTTTCACTAGCTTGTCCAGGTTCGCACCTGAACTTGTGGCGTCCGAGGAACGCCGCTGTATTGAGTTCGAGAAGAGGTTGAGGCGCGGCCTCAAGATGAGAGTTGGAGGTTCGATGATCCGAGATTATGGGCGCTTGGTTGATGCTGCAGCCCATATGGAGGTCATCATGCAGGAAGAGGAGGGACAGAGAGGCTCCAAGAGGAGCCGGGATGGTCAGGGTGATGACAGGAGAAAGAGGAGTGCTAACCCTCAGCAGTCTCAGGGAGGTGTTTCTAGATCGACCTTTCCGGTGCCGAGTGCAGGTTCGGGGAGAGGTAATCAGAGAGATTTCACCTGTTACAAGTGTAGTCAGTTGGGCCACAAGGCTTCAGTTTGCCCACAGAGGGGAGGAGGTCAGAGAGCTGATTCATCTTCAGCTAGACCGCAGAGCCAGAGTCAGGGCAGGGGTCAGTCCTTGTCTTGTTATCAGTGTGGTCAGCCTGGGCACTTGAAGAGGTTTTGCCCACAGTTGAGTGCCAC